TAGTAAGTTAAAAATTACTGACCATCCTTATAAGAAAACCACTAGCTAAAATGGAACGGTGCGCTGGATACGATGTAACAGCTAGAATGGTAGTATTTTCGAATAAGAGCAAATGATTCGACAGGAATCATATAAAAGGAACAAAATGTTTCATGGAAATGTGCATACCTTGCATCACTTGGTCTTAACAAAAAGTGCAAACTCAACAAAACTATTAACAAACATATAGTAATAGAAGAACACAGAAGACGATCGCAGCGAAGAAAAATTTCTCTTTTCGAAGAAATTATTCTTTAATCCGTACATTCATGAATATATAGAAAAAGGATAGAACACTCCAGAGCAATATTCTGCGAGAATTCAATGTAAATTTCGTCACAGGAAAGCTACGTAATGGAGAAATAAAATGACTACAAAATAAAAATAGCTACGTAATGTGCAGGTTATCTAGAGTGATCGACAATGTTTACTTATTTCATTACCTAGTAAGAGTATATATTTGCTTATTGACTCAGTCTTGACCAAATTATCATCCAGTTCAGTTTAAGACAGTAAGCCTCTCTAATCTCGACTAGAAGATTAGGACGCCACGTACACATTTAGAGAGGAGTTAGGCATTTATCTGGACATGACAGCAATGCCCATCCTGAATAAACTTGATGGCATATAAAGTCTGCTATAGAGACAGAGGTGAAGACAGATGGTAATCCACACCTGAAGGTTAGCAAATATCACTGTATTTCTGCGACGTCATCCAAACTGACTGATGCGAGAAGACTGATTCTTGTGTGCTCTGACCACGATGAGGGGCGAAAGCAAATTAAACGTAAGTTGACCGAGTCTCAGTCTATAAGAAACGAGAAAAACACTCCTATGACAACCACAGGGGAATTAGTTTGACTAATATTTTGTCCAAGATCCTAGGCTTCATAGTCATCCAACAGCTAACTGGAGCCCAAGAACAGCAAACTAGAGTAAACCAGTAAGGTTTCAGACACAGCTGGAAGAGAGTGCATCGGTCATATCCTTACACTACGACAGGTTTTGGAGCACATGCATACTTACCTGCCATTGGTCGATACTTGCCATATTTCTTGGCCTGGTGGCATTTGACTCTGTCGATCTTTAAGTGTTGTGCCGATCTAACTGTGAAGGAAGTGCCAAGAAAGTATATAACGCTGAAGGAAGCTCTTTACGCGAACCCATACAGTCGTGTAAGGGCTTATAGAGAGTCTTCATCAGAATTAACAACTAGTGGCGTCCGCCAGGGATGTCCACTGTCAATGTTCCTATTTAACTTTGTCAATGAAGTACTAGTTGACATAAACTTAGGTATGTCTGACTTCACGAGAATTGACCTACTACCTGAAGACATTCTGGTTGACTTGAAGTATGCCGGCAACATTGTCCTGCCAGGGGAAGATGCTCACAAAACACAGGGTATTCCAAACATATTGAACAGAAATATGAGTATATTTGGAACATATTTCGCACCTTTCAAATGTAAGATGATGCACTATGGCTGGTATGCAACCACATCCAGTTCACTGATAGGAAATGAGATGATGGATTATGTCGACCACTCCACCTAACTGGGGAGTTGCATCAGTCTAAAAGGGCTGATTGCTGACGAAGTCTCAGCTCAAATACACAGGGTCCGTTTGGCATTTGTCAACTGGCATCATCTGTAGCACCGACTGGCAAGATATCCGACTATCTTTCAAAGGACGAGTATATCACACTATAGTCTGTTCTGTCGTGTCATACGACTGTGAGCTATGGCCGCTAGAAGTAGATATGAAGCGATTACAGAGTTCTGATCACAGATATCTTTGTAACATTACTAGCGTTTGATATAACCACTGTGTGAGCAGTGATGAGGTCAGGCGAAAGGCACTAGACAACATAGGCAACTCAGTCGAGGAGATTGTGATGGCTTCGACATGTGTTGCACATGGCGAGTCATCGCCTTCATTGACATGCCATGCTACGGGAAGTTGCATTAGGTTCGAACAGGGTTCAGGGTGACCAGACGAAGACGTGGCACTAGTCAAAGAAGTCTCTGACTGCTGGTCTCAGCTGTGTTATGAGATGTAGACTGCTTGTCTAGGGTCCCCGAGAGGAAAACGATCAGTGGCTGAGGACTCTTGGTGGCATGGATGAAAATCAGTCGCAGTGGCGGAGATGTATTCTTTCTTTGATGTCTTCTAAAGCTTGAATATCTGCACTCACCTTTATCTTAGAACTGCTTGTTCTTTCATACAACTTTGTTACTTTGATATAGATTTTATTCTACCCACATTTTCGTTGTATACTACTGTGGAGTGTGGCAACTTGAAGCGATGCACTTGGGTGCGAGGTTCTACTCTGATTTGTCTGTCTGTCTATCATGCATATGGATACTACTCAAATTGTGATTTTAACATTAAAAGAAACATGAGGGTATTCGAAGAAATGTCAGATGAAACTACGAAACATTGTGAAAATGTAAAAACAGACAGAATGAAACACTAGTGGTAATAACCGAGAAAAAGTGAAGATATAAAGATAAACTCATACCAAACCACTCAAACGTCATGGTACACTTATGTGATATGCTTTCGTCGCTTTGACCCAGGTAAGCTGTTAAGTCACTTTGTAGATGACTAAACCGTGCATAAAGTTTTTAAAATGCAACTTAACAACCACATGCGCATTTAAGCACCAGACTATGAACTATATTTATTACATGAGAGTAGTTGGTACGACTTGGTTGTCCAAATCTCAGTAAGTCGAAAATGGCTCAAACACGTAACCCGTTTGCTTGAAATTTTTTAGGATAACGGTTACATCTCCATGATTAAGATGTTGAAGTGAGTAAGATGTCCCGAAGTCAGGGACAGATATAACAATACACAACGTGGCAACGAAGTCCGTTAATTCAAATTTCTACACTTCACATTAACATAAAGTGGGCAAAACAAGTTACATAAAAGTCGAAAAAACTGAATAAGAGGGGAAACCATTAGTAAATGAAGATTGATGAAAATGTTTTAGACTTCAAAGATGACAGAGTATGTATATTTGAACCACTAATTTTAGGCAATATGACCACCAGCTTCCAACCGTTGAAGCCTATCGTTTGTAGGACAGTAACCAGATAGTCTACATATCCCTACATGGCTGAGATCTGCAACCAGAGACTTCAATGACGGCCACAAATTTTTCGTATAACTACCCTCAGCTTCTTTCCAGCTTAACCGTACATAGATTCACATCGCGCGTTGAGGTAAGCGGTGGCTTGGACATCCAATGCATGCCAAGCCACGTCAGTTAGTCCTGGTTCGCGACATCATTTACCAACTTGCCTTTCATATCTGATGCTGTACGCCTTAACTTGACATTGCTTATAAGCTGATCCCACCATGCGCTAGCAATTCACCGGAAACAGACACAGAACGGTTGAACGGTCTCAGGTCACAGTCCTACCGTCTCACAGATGTACATATTAACTGCAATCACCAAAATGATTTACAGAAACATGTTAAAGTAGTGTCATATATGGTAAAGATCGGCAAAAATCAAGCGAAAATCTAATGTGATGCGATTCAGTAACTCAGTACACGTTTATTTGAATGCGTTTTCAAAGTTTATTATACTATCTAGTTATGCAACTTTTAATAGGTGGAGCAAGGTTCCAGTATGGAAATTGGTGATTAAATGTCGAGTGTTTACAATGGCCAGCCACGGTTCCAGATAAAAGACAAAGACTGACTTCAGCCGTCATGCTCTTACTGGTGATGAGATAACTACCCGGGTATACAAACTTTTCAATTAAATTCACAATATCGTCCTAAATAGACTGACAATGCATAACTATCTAATTCTAACATCTATTCAAGACATAAAGCTATATTACACACTGACGACAATGAAGTCGAAATTGACCAGAAATGCTAGTAAAAAAAATTTACCACAGTATACAGTCTAACATCTTCGATTACAGCATTACGATGATACATTTGCGACAGCTTGAACAGAAATGAAGCAAAATGAAAAAGCCATTCACTCGATGTGCGTGGTCAAAACGATTTACACTCCTTTAATATGACAAATTATCAAACACTTTATGATGTATTAGGGAGCTTCAACCAAAATCAGATACCACATGAAACCTGATAGGTAAATCAAAAAGTTGACTTATTTAGGTGATGAAGAATGGCAATGCGTATGAGTACACTAGAGCAGAAAATATTACCTCGTTTGACGAATGTATTGGGTCCGTGACACAAAATCAGCCACCGAGGGTTGAGGAATTTGAAACAAGTATCTGTCACAAGATAGGCATACGTTAAGCTTAGTTTGTTGGCCAAGTAATAACACTCAGAACTACCAAGTCCTCAACCATGGGTTTAAAACTAGTAGCAACCGAGTTTAAAAATGAAGATGTACTGCGAAATACTAGCATTTGGAAGGCCTTCGGATAAGAGTGCTAGTTTTGTGTCTAAACTGCATGCTGAATATGTACGCTGAAACTGACTTTTGTGTGATAACCAGATATAAATCTGACGTAAAATCACAAGGTATAGTCGCTAACCATATATAGTAAGCGTTAGTACTCAACATAACAGTTGAAATAAAACAACAGTAAAGAACTAATAAGACCAAACTGACCCACCTAAACTAGTTCAAAATAATAGACAAATTTTCCGAAAAATTTAGTCACAAAGAATGACGCCCTCATCGAAAACAAATATGTGGCCAGTATTGTACTAGTTACAGTAGGAACAGCTTATAAGAAGGATATGAACAACTACTCAAGGGAACTTGACAAATATGACAATCGACAAGTTGTCTACGATGGAATCGAAATCCTCGGAGACAGTGAAACAGAACTGGAGCCATCTGCACAATGGTTTTCACTGTTTTCCGGTTATTTAGACCAATAAAGATCACAGTAAAGTATGTGTGACAGTTGGAATTGTTCTACACATACGATGATAAAACTCCATAATACTAACCTTGCAAGTTCGCAACAGCCCACAGACGCAGCTGCATGCAAAGGAGTCCAACCTTCATGATCCTGCAGATTAATATTGGCACCACTACTGATGAGAAACTTTAGGAAATCAAAGTCAACATTGATACAAGCCTTATGAGAGTGTTTTTTTATTGACAAACACAACATACTAAGTGCGTGCTGGTTAATCCATCAGCATTTTGGGTATTAATGTCCGTCCCCAGTTTCAGTAGACGTGAAAACTCATCCAAATCACTGTTACTGCACGCAGCAAGAAGCTGTACTGATAGGGGGAATTTGATCTTCTCCGGTTCCCGCATTTTCGTGGATGCCTTATCTGTGTCTGATCCATACCACTCCTTCAGTTGCGCCTTCCGCCTTTCGCATATATCACTATCAGACAGTTTTAACTGCATCATCATATTTCTATGCTATCCAAAAAATTTTTGAGACCATCACAGGTGACAACAACCAATTGCACCGCCTTCTCAAGGTGAATTAAGTATAGGATGAAGTAACGTATGTTAACAGACCAGCTGTCCTGAAAATGATTCTTAAAAAACATTGATAGGATGAAATAGATTGCAAACTTTTCGTACTTTGCACTAACTGTATAGATAAGGTGGTTCAACCGCTCCTACTTATGATGACTTCAACACCAACAGTGCACGCGCGTGCTTTGAAAACGTGAAGTTGGTTTTTCCACTTTTGACATTTTGAGCTTTTGTTGTGTAATCCACATCAAATGCTTCCTTATAAACTTTGACTCCAAGTAATTCAGTCAGCGTCTGAAGCTTCATCATTTTGAGGCTTAAGGTTGGCTTTCGAGTCATCACTTTTGTTTCGTTATATCAACTTAATTCTTTCTTTCCTGACTTTGACTGAATGCTTTAATTCAAATATGGTTCGAGCGGGAACTTCAATTAACTTGCCAATAACTTGTTTAGAGATAATCATGTTTGCCGTCCACCCAGCTGCAGATTCCCAGTCGACGAAGGTATGCAGTGTGACGTATGTCGATACTGGTTCCACAGAATTTTAACTGAATTGCGCCAACCACGTACAAGCTTTGCAGTTAGCAAACTTCTCCCTGGCTATATGCCTTCAGCTGCGATTCTTCACCAGCCCTAATTTAGGAAGGTACCGAAGTGTTTCTCGTCGAAAACACTCAGTTGGTAATGATAGCTGTCGGATGATCATGCTGTGTTATAGCCAATACGTCTGACGAGACCTAAAAAGGGGCTTTTGCATACCAGTGATTAATTCGACAGGGTTACACCATTTCCGATGTGTAACCGATATAAATCCGAGGGTGACTGGTACGCCATCTATAATGCTAAAGTATTCACCGAAAGACAACGTTTCTGCTAGCAGCTTTGACGCTACCGTGACCAACGATTTTGAACGGATTTCTCCAAGAAAGAACTCGAAGAATCCTCCAACGGTTATCGTTGAAGTCACTAAGCTCATGAAACCCATCGTGAAAGTTTCGAAGGCCGTCAACATGCGATCCAAGAATTTCTCGCCAGTTACCAGTGATCTTCTGGAGTGCTGAGGAGTCGGGGGACAAATACTTCTCACTACGTCATGCGCATGATTTGAAAGTCGTCGAGCTGGCCACCGGATATATTCCGCCTGAAATATCCAAGACCGTACACATCTCCAATGTATTCAAGTTCAGTCAAAAAATGATGGCAAAACCTCGGTGAGGGGGAATTTCCAACTTAGTTATTTCTGCGGCCCTTCCTTATTCGCTTGGGCTCCATTGCGTCAAGAGCGATTTAGACCTTTCGGGTAGACACAGTTTCTACCAGGGATAAATAATTTTGTGCAGAGGCATTCGGTACCTTACAATAAAGTAGCGAAACGTTATCCAAGGCTTCTTCAACCGTCCCCTCCCCCTTCGCCTTGATGGAAAATCTTCTGAACGGATCAGTAAACCGCTCATCTTGACCACTAGACTGAGGTGGCATGGAGGGATACGAATCTGTTGGATGTCGAAATGATTGCAGAAGTCGGGCAATACCGACGATTTAAACCTCGGTCCGTTATCGGACACGAGAATATCAGGAATACCAAAATGACAGAAGGATTTATGAAGCTGGTTCTTGTTGCCCGCGACGTGATGAACTGCATTAGAAGAATCTCTGGCTATTTGGAATGTGCACCAACACATACTAAGAAGTGCGTACCGTTCAACGGCCCAGCAAAATTAACGCGGACACGGGCCATAGTTTCTCTGGTAGCCGTCTGGAACAAAGTTCTGTCCTAACAATAATACTTATATCAGTGATGATAATAAAATGTTTCGAATAACGAATTATACGAAAACACGTCATTTCCGAAGATGGTATCGGAATGTTAACTCCTTATTTAAGCTGTAAAAGTTTAGATGGATATCGTTAAACAACAGTGGCAAAAATCAGTGAGTGTATAATCACTGAGTACGAGCAGCAGCGGCAAGTCACGAAATCTGTAAGAGTATATTACACATCAGATGTTGAGAACAAACGAATCCGGGGATATGTCTGCATTCAGTAAGTTTGTACCGTCTACAGATGGCAGGCGAAACTGGGATGCATGGCGGACACAAAGTTGGGTCTGGCATTGCGTGGCGTCATTTTAGTTAGTAAAGCCAGGGATGCAATCCTGTCCGGCTGCTGTTATCATATTATGGTGGAGAATATAAGAGGTTTCACAATCAAACCGTTCGCTAGAACTTCAAGGTCGGCGAGTCATATGAGGTGGCCCCCGACCTTGTAAACAAATAGACTGAGCTTAGTAATGTGACAAGCAACGAAAGCCCCGGCATCATTGCTATCTCAGAGGCTTGGTTCTCTTCTTGGATCAGTGAATGCGAAACACACTTACGAGGATTCATCCTTTCTAGAAGTGATACGTTAGCACGCAAAGGTCACGGCGTCATACTTTACGTCAAAAATAACTTAACTGTAAAAGCCATAGAAACAGTTGCACATGAAAGTGGGACATGTCTGCGCTGCCGACTAAAATGCAAGGGGCAAGATGTTAACGTAATCGTGATATATCGGAGCCCTGAATGTGATGCAGCAGACTTCCTTCTGAGTAAGCTTACCCTCTGGACAGACAAGTGCCGATATCTAGCTGTAGGAGATTTCAACGCACCATCAGTTGACTGAGATGGACCAACGACAAAAGCTCCATGTAATTCGTTTGACCACCGGTTAGTAGAAACATCAATTTCCCTAGCCCTCATACAGTACATTAGGACACCAGCCAGATGCGACCATCAGCATGCTGCATCAGTTCTGGACTTTGTATTCCTACATACAGATGATGTGTGCTTCATCCGGCACCCAGCACCCCTTGGCAAAAGTGATCACGCCATGAGCACCTTTAGATCCACAGCAGACGTCTCGTACTAGGCCGATGCCCCGGGTGAACCCAACATGTGGAAAGCAAATATAGGAGCTGTTAACCTGGTAGCCTCTTTGGGGGACTGTCAATCCAGAAGCCTCAGTTGAAGGTGCGTGGTGCTCCCTCAAGCAGTTATAGGCACGGGTGAACCAACCGTTCATTCCGTGGACTGTCCCGAGGGGAAAGAAACATCGTCCCCCGCGGATAAACCACGAAATTCGGATCTTGCCACGACGTGAGATAAAGTGTTGGAATCCTGCCACCTACCTCGGTACACCCGAAGTGGTGAAGCATTACAAAGAAGCCCGAAATAAATTTATCGCTGCTATCCGCCGGTTTCGAATGTGCTTTGAAACACGTCTTGCCCAGTCTGCATTGCAACATTCAAAGAGGTTGTTTTCCTATATGAACTACAGAAATAAGACGTGTCGTGGTATACCCACCCTAAACATTGGGACAGGAAATGACTGTTTGATTGAGGACGATAGGGAAAAGGTCGAAGCCATGGCTGGATATTTTGCTGAGGTCTTCACACACGAATCCCCTGTGGACACGTATCCTAAAGTAGAAGCATTGACATCTTATGGAATAAACCCTGTGAATGTCGATCGTGATGACGCATTTCGGACATTGAGCACGCTTGATGGAGAAAAATCAACTGGACCGGATGACTTGCACCTGAGGCTGCTCAGAGAGCTTGCACTCTATGTAGCTGGCAACTGACTACTATATTCAGACTCTCTTAGTGAAGACACACTCCCCTATGACTGGAAGGATACCATAGTAACACTTATCCACAAGGCAGGTTCTAGGCAGCTCCCATCAAATTACAGACCAGTAAGTTTGGCTAGTACTGTAGTGAAAATCCTAGAAAGAGTGATCAATAAAGCCATCGCTTCCTACCTAGAGGGGAACACTCTATTGTCTCCTTCACAGCACGGTTTTCGTGGAAATTTCTATTGCTTGGAGAACCTTCTTACAGCCAGAGAAAGTTGGGTTAAGTCTAAAGATGATAGGATGCTGGTAGATGTCATTTTCATTAACTTCAGTAAGGCGCTCGACAAGCTACCTCATTCCAGGTTGCTCGAGAAACTGGAAGGTTTTGGAATCACTGGCAGTCTGCTCTCATGAATAAGATACTTTCTAGTTGGTAGGAGACGAAGTGTTAGGATGAATTCTCAACTCTCCACTTGCAAGTCGGTAAAGAGTGGAGTGCCACGAGGCATAGTCCTGGGCCCCGACTGTTTCTCCTATACGTAAATGAGCAGCCAAATATCACGAAATCCCCTGTGGTTCTCTATGCTGAAGATGTAAAAATCTGGTGGGAAATTAGGAACGATGGGGATATACGTGTACTCCAGGTAGACCTGAACAGTTTATTCGCCCGGTCAGAGGAGCGGCTGACGCCTGCCAATACAGGTAAATGTGTAAGCATGCGCTTGGGGCGTGTAAACAGCATCATCTACGATATTGATAGGACTCATTTACCGTAAGTACCGACCCACAATGACTCAGGAGTCACTGCTAGTCATGACTTGAAAACCACGGCTCACTGTCGATTAGTAGCGGCTCGGAGTTTTAGGACTCTCTGGGCACTGCGTAGAGCGCTTACGAAAATAATTGGTACCATGTTCACCACCTGAAAGGTGAAGCAGACCTTCTAGAAAGAGTTCAGAGGGCAGCCACTCGTATGGTCTCCGCGATGGCCGGCCTCACCTATGAAGACCGACTTAAAGAGCTGAACCTCTTCACTTCGTCCTATTGCAGACAGTGTGGAGACCTAATCTTGCTATACAGGATTCTAAGAGGTGACTTCGGACCTGATCTATCTTCTCTTTTCTTTCCCACCAGGCCGAAACACTTCAGAGGACACAGTAGGAGATTACAAAGGCGGGGGACGAACATAGTCTCCGCAGGATACTGGTTCTCGCCTCGAGCAATCAACGCCTGGGACCAACTTCCAGAAGAAGTGTCCGCATCATCATCCTCAACTAACAAATCTGAATCTGTTAGTTTTGTTTTCAGGTGGGTGGTTGTGAGGACTGAAAGAACTTGCATATTTGGACGCAAATGGCCTTTTGTACTCACATTTTCAGTTGCTCTCCTAATCTGAGCTATGTATTTAGGAAAGGTGGTAGTCTCGGATGAACTGTCTAGCTCCTGGTGATTTTGCATCTACAGGTGGTACGAGATGATGGTTTTCATGCTTTGATTGGAAGTTCGAAGTTTATCTCGATGCTCAGTGTGTTGGTGTGACTCACCATCATAAT